AGATGATGATACAGATGTGACAATGGCTCCATATCAGTGACAATGGCTCACTGAACCCACTGAACCATATTACGCATGTTCTCTCCATCCGTGATTGGACCACGATTCTACCGCGGCTGGAAGGCGATGCGAAGGCCTCAGATCAAAGGCGACCCGGGTGAGGTCGCTTGTAGCTTGGCAGTTCGGATTGTTTCTGCGTAACACGAGATGCACGGAAATTTATCCAACTCTATCACACCATTCTGAAGCTGGAAAGGTGGGATTGGCCCCACGGCAGTACGTGGTAACCGGAAACTTGGGGATTCGGTGGTCAAAACTCCCGGTTCTCCAAAGGGCTGAAAGGACGACCTATGGCGCGACTTTCAATGCCATTTTGATCTCAAGGACTGCATGGCACTGCATGGTGAAGCTCCTCAGGGATCTTTGGTCGTTTCTTGATATCCAAAATCTGGCTGAGAACCTGGATAGTCGACACCATAAAGTGGCAATGGGGTACTGCATTTCACAAAATCATCCTCTGGACAGGTTGAACGGTTGAGCCTATCTCAGCTGGTAATCCCGAAGGTACACCGGTAAACCCGTGCCTCCTTTCAACAAAACCTGTTCACTCGCATTTACAGTTGAGTTGGAGCCCTGCATGCGCCCCTTGCGTCTGTCAAGGACATTAAGGTGTCAGTTAATCAGTGGAACCAGTGCGTTGTTGCTTTGCTAGTCGCACTCGATGCCTCCAATGGACCTGTTCTGTGCATTCCTGGGCAAAGTTTGTGGCTCTACACCTTTCGGGTAACTCCCCGTGCCAACATGCGCGGGGCTCAACATTCTTTTTTGTCTCCGAAAGGGGCCCCGAGATTACCGAGGTCACCGAAGTTGCTGGCATTGTGTGATGGATTCTCTCCATTGAAGACCTGTGCTTCCAAAACATGGTCATTGGTGGCTGCAGTGAAGGAGCATGGATGGCCAAAAGGGTGACGAGTTGGACCAGGCGTTTCCAGTGTTATTACGTCAAAGCTGATGAAGATTGCAGCTTTGCTTTTTTGTGCTGGCAACATGAGATCCAAAGACGTTCCATTTTCGTAGCCCATATTTTTCCAACATGCCCAGGGTTCCAACCGACCCAGCTATGCCAAAGGAATCAATTTTATCTCATTTTGCATAGTCTAGCTGCAGGTGCCAAGCTTTGCTTTCCTTATCCGACTCCTCATGAATCACAGATTCCTGCGCTTTCATTGACGCCCTCTGAGCGAGCAATCACTGGTCTTGTGTCCTCTTGCAGGTCCTTCTCACAACGAAAGACAAAAACCAGGTGATTCCTTTCAGGGGTTGCTACTCTTTGACTTGCCATGTAGGATGTGATGTAACTGCAGGAAAAGTCGAGCCGTTTCAGCAGAAAAACGAAGGCAAACCTAGGGGCCTTTGCATTGGAAGTAACTCTAGTATGCTATGTGTACGTGTTTATTCGAGGTGCCAAGCACAACAACCAGATTGCCCATTGATGTTCGCAAACTTTTTGACCGTTGGCAGGATACCCCGCATCTCTTCCCGTAGGTGGCCGGCTAGATACCCTGCGAGACTTGCCGTAAGTGTCGGAGATTGTGTCAGCACACTATTTGCGGCCCCAGCCGGCCAGACGAGCAAGCCGGCAGCTGGATACCCTGCATCTCTTTGCGTAGGTGCCAGAGATTGTGTCAGCACACCGTTTGCGGCCAAAACCGGCAAGACGAGCCAGCCGGCTGGATCCCCTGCAGATCTTGCCATACGTGTCAGAGATTGTGTCAGCACACTATTTGCGGCCCCAGCCGGCCAGATGAGCCAGCCGGCTGGATCCCCTGCAGCTCTTGCCGTAAGTGTCAGAGATTGTGTCAGAACACCATTTGCGGCCCCAGCCGGCCAGACGAGCCAGCCGGCCAGACGAGCCAGCCGCCTGGATACCCTGCACGCGTAGGTGCCAGAGATTGTGTCAGCACACTATTTGCGGCCCCAGGCGGCCAGACGAGCCAGCCAGGTGGATGCGTAGGTGCCAGAGATTGTGTCAGCACACTATTTGCGGCCCCAGCAGGCCAGACGAGCCAGCCGGCTGGATCCCCTGCAGCTCTTGCCGTAAGTGTCAGAGATTGTGTCAGCACACCATTTGCGGCCCCAGCCGGCCAGACGAGCCAGCCGGCTGGATACCCTGCACGTGTAGGTGCCAGAGATTGTGTCAGCACACTATTTGCGGCCCCAGCAGGCCAGACGAGCCAGCCGGCTGGATCCCCTGCAGCTCTTGCCGTAAGTGTCAGAGATTGTGTCAGCACACTATTTGCGGCCCCAGCCGGCCAGACGAGCCAGCCGGCTGGATACCCTGCACGTGTAGGTGCCAGAGATTGTGTCAGCACACTATTTGCGGCCCCAGCCGGCCAGACGAGCCAGCCGGCTGGATCCCGTGCAGCTCTTGCCGTAAGTGTCAGAGATTGTGTCAGCACACTATTTGCGGCCCCAGCCGGCCAGACGAGCCAGCCGGCTGGATACCCTGCACGCGTAGGTGCCAGAGATTGTGTCAGCACACTATTTGCGGCCCCAGGCGGCCAGACGAGCCAGCCGGGTGGATGCGTAGGTGCCAGAGATTGTGTCAGCACACTATTTGCGGCCCCAGCCGGCCAGACGAGCCAGCCGGCTGGATCCCCTGCAGCTCTTGCCGTAAGTGTCAGAGATTGTGTCAGAACACCATTTGCGGCCCCAGCCGGCCAGACGAGCCAGCCGGCCAGACGAGCCAGCCGCCTGGATACCCTGCACGCGTATAGGTGCCAGAGATTGTGTCAGCACACTATTTGCGGCCCCAGCCGGCCAGACGAGCCAGCCGGCTGGATCCCCTGCAGCTCTTGCCGTAAGTGTCAGAGATTGTGTCAGCACATTTTGCGCAGCTGGCCAAATGAGCCAGCCATAGCCAGCCGGCTGGATCCCCTGCAGCTCTTGCCACAAGTGTCAGAGATTGTGTCAGCACAGTATTTGCGGCTCCAGTCGGCCAAGATGAGCCAGCCGGCTGGATACCCTGCAGCTCTTGCCATAAGTGTCAGAGATTGTGTCAGCACACTTGCAGCCCCAGCCAACCAGATTGGCCCAGGAACCTTCTGGATCTCGAGCCGTGAGTGTGAACATTTGCGGTGGCTAAACGAGACCCTGACAATATTGCAGGGTGCCAGATATATATATATATATATCTTCCACCTGGGATGTAGCTGGACTCATCATGATTTATGCGTGAAAAACGCTGCAGCTTTTAGTTGTTTTTGAGGCTGGTGATGCAGTTGAAGGCGATGATGCATTTGCACTTGTTTTGCATTCTGAGTAAAGACCAGAATATTTTGGTACGTGATCAAAGCCATGACTTTTCATACTGTCATCAAGTTGGAAAGTAGCACTTGAGTGAAGTATTATGTATTCCGACATATTCCGACATTTTTTTGTCTCAAGTGCGTGACTGGAAGGGTAACGCCGAAGGACTGCTAGCTTGTACCAACATCCCTCGAGTGGCATGGTGGAGCATTGGCTGCAAGATTTCGACCATGGGATGGGCATAGCTTTATGGTTCCTGTCACAAGGTACACACGGATACGCTCAACTTCACTGGCACAGCGATAAATCCGCCAACTTTGTTTTTTTTTGAGGGCTGGAAGGGGGTGAATGTCACGAGGACATTCGCCCGCTGGCGGAATTTTTGAAATATTTTCCAGGCATCGATCTATCTAGAAGAACAATTTTTCCCTTGCACTCGTTTTATCTTTGTGCATGGAAAGATAGGGAAACAAGTTTGTCAACCCTACTGATGTCCCAACAATTTCCCCAGGTTTTTTCACTGACTTGGTTGGTTGCATCTGAGTTTCACCTTGGCATCGATTGGGAAGAAAAAGCAAAGAAATCATTGGGATCTTCCGCATAACACGTGCAGATGATCAAACTCTGCATCAGAGTTCCAATTGAGGGATCTATGGGATAGTTGGATCAGAGGCTGGGTTTGTTTGAATAGGAAAAAAACCCAAACCCAATGGTTTATCAACAAGTCCCTCTTAAAATTGTGATTTTGGGACAAACCCAAGTCATACATTGTTGGTTGTCTACGGTTATATCACATCCCCATGATATCTCCTCATTCTATCATCATTTATCCTACTTCAACCACACATTTTTCATCATATTTTCAAGATGAAACTGACACGTGCATCCCTTCAATCCTCATTGGGTCCCCTCCCAGGAAAAAAATCTGTGGGTGAATCTCGGATGAATCTCTCTCTAGTCACAATAGTTTTGAATAGTCTGGAGTAAGTCGAAAGTACCAATGGATTGGTGTGAAACTTTTCCCAATGCGGGGGTGAACCCTGTGGATTTTCATCAAACCCATTCTGGGAACCAAGTTTTGATTGCTTTGATGCTTAATGCCCGCCTTGGTCAGTGATCAGCACCCAGGAGAGGGAGTTCTGCGGGAAGCAGCGCGGCAACAAGGGCCGTGGCCGTAGAATCTGGGGGCTTCAAAAAATGGGGGATCACCAACACCAGGTTTTTTCCAATACTCAAACAACTCAAACGGTCAAAATAAAGGATGATGTAGGGGGTACCACCATTTTATGAAGCCGCCATGTGCATTGGTTGAGTTTTGGGATACAGTGGCTGTAAATTGATGGCTCAACAGCTGACAGATGAATCATTGGATTGGGTCGATTGAGAGCATTCAGTGGCTCGTCAATCCTACCATGATGTGGCAAAGGTGGCAACCAAGCCTGTCTGAGGCTGCAAACACCTTCATTGTGGTACGCAGGCACTGCACTGAATCGATCTTCAAACTTTGAAATTGTCGTTGTTGCAACTGTGCTGTGAAATCGCTTCTTGCAAATGTACAAAGCACATGGGTCTCCCAGGTGTAACGCATGTGGATTTCCTTCAATAGTCACAAGGGTTTTCCAAATGCTTTCCGTATGAGACACGTCAAGACTTTTTTTTTTTCTGAGCAGAATTTCTGACGAAGCCTGGGCTCTGATCGACTAGTCGCCGACTTTGGAGCTTGACATCTTGTTCCAAAGCCATTTGAGACATGGCCATGGAGGCAAAATCGCCTCGTCGTGTGTGCAGCCATGCGCACCTTGAGGAGAACGACGGACTCCGCAAGACGGTGTCCTTCAACAAGCGGCGTTTTGATCCCAGCCGCCTGGGATGAACCTGGTTGATGGATGTTTCAACTGTGGATGTGTTAAACCTGGAAAAAACCCGGAGAATTCTTCGGATTTGCGTTTTTTTTTTTGTGAAGTCGAGGAAACCCCATTTTTGATTTCAGCTTAAACCACTTTCAGATTTCAGAAGATTGGTGAATTCAAAAAGGGCCATTCTTCGCTTCGCTTCCGAGGCAAGCTCCCACCTGACATGCTCAGAGTGTACAAGTCTCTTAAAGAGAGGTTCGACGAGGAGTACCTAGTTGGTGGTGGTGTCAAATGCTTTTTCGATTTTCCCCTGATTTCGCAAACGTCTTAGATTAATTTATATATAGATAATTTTAGATACATTTAGAATGTGTTCTCTTTTTTCGTGAAATTTGGACGCAACTTTCGGTGTCTGTTTTTTATCGTCCAAGGTATGCTTTGCTGTTTGTTTTCAACATGCAGACGGCAATGGAGATGCACCGGGCTTGGAACATGACCTTGTTGACCTCCAAGACCTTAAAGAAGTGCTCAGAGATGGTGGGGCTGACGATGACGTGGGAGCTGGGGGTGATCAAGTTGAAGTTCTTCATGGAGGACAACATTGGAGGGGATGGAAAATGAGGGATTTTTACTGGTAGGAACTCTTCATTCTTTTGGGTTGGTCGGAAAATGTGGTGTGTATACCTGGCAAATGGCCAGTTTGATAGGGGTTATGATGAATAACCAATGGAATCAGGAATTTTCACGTTTTCAGACAAACCCAGATCCATATTCGCTCCTATTGGGATCCGAGGAGCTACGAATTGAACTTCCCAGCCACCCTATGGCAATTTTGGGGTGTACCGTACCCCTTTTCCGGAAAAACCCAAGTGGCCATCCACTGACTGACTGAAAATCCTTTGGCAAAAAATATGGGGATGGTTATTGGACCATCGGTGGACGAGAGGGATGCATATCTAACTAACTAGGTTCCCGTTCCATAGTCGGCCGTGTGGAATTGTGATGGTGGCGTGAATCTCTTGTCAACGTCTCTTCGTTCTAGTTTTCTATTTCCCAGGGCAATTGCGATCATTTGAAGGTTTCTTGTCTTAGAAGGATTTTAGAAATGGATTTTTTCCCTGCGCTTCAGACGATTTCCAATGGTGGTCTTGAATGCATTATCATTTTGAGCCACGTTTCCCAGTGTTTTTTAACACTTGAACATCTTCAATCATGAGAGGGAAAAACAAACTATTTTTTTTCGGATGCATTTGGTCACTTTGCAGTCAACAAAGGCAGGAGTTTCTGCAAACAAAGCTGCTAGATATGTAAGAACATCAAGTACGCACAAAGTAACAAGGATAAACATCAAGAGCGTACTATCAATAACATAGTAACGATATGTAAGAACGTCCATAACATAGTATCAAGAACGTAGTCACAAGATATGTAAGAACATCAAGAGCGTACTATGAAATAATGTAATGTAATAACAAGATATATAAAAGGCCCACAGCGTACTATCAAGAACGCCATGTGAAAACGTAGAGGAAAGAATGTTATTGCCCCACCCCATCCCACCCAAACCCCAACCGAAAGAAGGTCAACAACCAAGAAAGCCAAGAACATCATGTGAAGAACGTAGTGGAAAGAACGTTATTACCCCACCCCACCCCACCCAAACCCCCAAAAGTGCAACAAAGTAAAAAAATACATGGCCGTCTGTGGGACGGGTGCCAACTACCATCACCCCTGGCCCATAACCACAAACCATATTTTCTCCCTTCAACTGATTCAACCAGCACTACGACCCCAGTCTTTCTGGCCAATTAGGGTTGGACTGATGAGAAAGTCTGCTGTCAGCTGTCAATTTTCCTGGAAACATACATTGGCTTGGGACACACCCAAGATTAACCCTTCCAAACCATTGACCACTACTCTTTTCCATTTTCAGATTTTCCATGTTTTTTCTTGATTTTGTTATCGAAACATCGAAAAAAACTGAACGCCACCCCGGGATTGCCACGAGGATGGCGACTTTGAGCTTCAGCGAAAAGTGCCCTATGACTACGATTCCGAGTTCCAGGACATGTTCATGAGAATTGCCTCGGCGCTCTACAATGGACACATGACACTTGGTCTTGCGGAAAAGTGCGCATTTTTTTACATGACGAAGCAGCAGTCGTTTTGAGCTGAAAAAGATAGAATCACGTGTTGATATGCTTCAAGTTTTGATGCTTCAAGTTTTGAAAAAACTTGAACTTCCCAAAAGATGGATGAACAGATTGATGATACATTATGTCAATGTAGTGTAGATATAATACATCATAATAGAATAGAATACATTATTTCAAAGCCCCCTAAAATTCCATGAGGACCTCCCCAACCTTGAATATTTCCTGAAAAGTGAGAGGATGACCTGCCAACACTTCGCACAAAGATCCAAAAAGTGGCATGCTGATCCTCAGATGTTTTTTTTTCCCCAACAGCATACGGCGTAAGCTAATGGGGTCTTCAGCCCAGAATAACTATAACTCTGGTGTGCACTGGTGCAGGCGCCGGGTCAGGTTCAACGCGGTTCTGGAGAAGGTTCCGAAGGTTCCCGAGAAGGTCTGGGAGGCTTGGGTGCAGAGCCAGGTCAGGTTAAACAGGGTTCCGGAGAAGGTTCTGGAAAAGGTTCCGGAGAAGGTCTGGGAGGCTTTGTGCAGAGCCAGGTCAGGTTAAACAGGTTTCCGGAGAAGGTTCTGGAAAAGGTTCCGGAGAAGGTCTGGGAGGCTTTGTGCAGAGCCAGGTCAGGTTAAACAATGTTAAACAGGGTTCCGGAGAAGGTTCCGGAGAAGGTTCCAGGAAGCCTTGGTGCAAAGCCAAGTCAGGTTCAACAGGGTTCCGGAGAAGTTCTGGAGAAGGTCGGGGAGGCTTTGGTGCAGAGCCAGGTCAGGTTCAACAGGGTTCCGGAGAAGGTTCCGGAGAAGGTGGCGCAGAGCCAGGTTAGGTTGATCCGGGTTCCGCAGAATATTCCAGAGAAGGTGTGGGAGGCTTTGGTGCAGAGCCAGGTCAGGTTCAACAGGGTTCCGGAGAAGGTTCCGGGAGGCTTCGGTGCAGAGCCAGGTCAGGTTCAACAGGTTTCCGGAGAAGGTTCTGGAGAAGGTCTGGTGCAGAGCCAGGTCAGGTTCAACAGGGTTCCGCAGAATATTCCGGAGAAGGTTCCAGGAAGCCTTGAATGAATGCAACGCCAAGTCAGGTTCAACGGGTTCCGGGGAAGGTTACAGAAGCCAAGCCAGGTGAGGTTCATTTAGCTCACGGAAAGCCAGCTGAGGTGTGTCTTCCCAGCACGCTTCAGAAAGATTTATAAAAATAAAACGTTCCGGCTGTTGGGGATATCACCGAAGCTTATTTCAGACACCAATCAAAAATGCGACAACGATCCCAGTTGGACCACACCCTCCAGTAAATTTGCAGAAAATTGTTGTTTTCCACGGGAAACCGTACTCCCCAAAGAAAACAACAACGGTTTCCTGTTCGGACATGTTTTTTTTTCGTGCCCCCCAAAGAAATGAATCCTGGGTCCCTGGGTCCCTGGTCTAAGGACGGTTCACGAAGCCTTGCTCTTCCAACAAGAAGCCAAGGAAGGAAAGCACACAGCCGGGACCGGAACCGCAGGGGCAGAGCGTTTTTGGGTGTCCTAGGGAAGACCATGGTTCCCAAAATTTTCCCTTTCAATCCAGTGACTTGTTGGTTCAAAAAAAGGGGTTTACCGCATGCGTTTGTCTGAAAGAGGTCACCACAGAATCCAATCTTTAATTAGGTCATGATTTTCTTGTGAATATGGCAGGGAATTTTTGGGTGAATTCTCCGTTTTTGGCCTCTACCAGAGGCGGGTGAAATCCTCATTCGGGTTGATCCAAGCATTCTGTATGGCCATTTTCATCGGGAATGATGATTTTCTAAACCATGGGATTTTGATGTACCACACATTCACACAAACCAGTGTTTTGAAAATATGATGGATCCGATTTTGAATGCAAGAAACACCACAAAAATGGACAATGCTTCTAAAATCACCATCATTCTGGTTCAGAGCCCAATTCTTTAGGTCTGAAATTCACATTTCAATTTCAAAAAGTTGCAAATTTGTATCTAAACCACAGATTTGGGGGTATTTGCAGTATCCCGTTTTCAGGTAACAAACCCTGATGAACCGGTATCTTCAATGTTCGATATTTCATTTAATTTGGAATGGTTTAAACCCTCAAACATTTGTCATAGATACTACTAACATCTCCATGATTACAGTCAAATCACCCACTTTCATCCAGTTTTGAGAATATCCATTTGCTCACCCATGACTATGGTGACCCATGTGTTCTTTACGGCCAGGACAGGCTTGTTCATCCGCGACTACCCGGGTCGTTTGATCATATTGCCTGCCATGTCCTCCACCTGTGCCGTGATCTTCTTTGGAGGGACTCATCGCGAGGCGGGCGTGGCGGCCATCTGTGGCCTGGTAACAGGTCTCATCGAGTATTTCCTGGTAAGGCGAGGCTTGACAAAAATGCTGTTTGGCAAAACCTGGGGGAAAAGCGAAGTTTGGAGCGTCATTGTACTATATTGTACTTAATTTTTCTTCTTTGTTGAGAGTCTTTGTGCGAGAAAAAGGGTGATGTCAAGGAGGAAAAATGGTGAAAGACGGACTCGCATTTCCACAAAAAGGTTTCTAAAGTTTCAACATCCACAAAAATAGTGTTTTTTTTTACCATGGTGAACCCCGAAAATTTGGCGTCGTTTTGACAGAAATTTGGACAGTGTCCCACCCTGCGAGGGTCGGAGGCGAAGCCACCATGCTGATTGATCTGGCAGTGGGCTTCATTACGGGAGTCATTGGAAGCCTCTTCTATCATTTCGATGGTCAGAACTACTGTCGCTGGCGATTTTGCATGTGGAATTTGTTGTTTCCCACAATGGGAAGATTATTTTTGAAGAAACGATGAGATGATGATCTCCCAATTGTTTTTGTTTCCAATTTCCCACATATTACATCATATTACTAAAAGCAAGACGACGACGATGATTGTGCTTTCTATGGTTTCTGATTTAAGCGCCCAAGTGGCATTTGAAGGGGAATGAATGGTTCAACCATCCAGGATTTTGACATCCATATGTAACATGTATGTATGTATTGTACTGTACTGTACTGTAATCTTATGGTATGTTATGTTGCGTTGTGTTGTGTTACGCTACGTCATTTTTTGTCATACTATGTCATGTGTTGTGGTTTTATCCTACCTTATGCAATGTTATGTTATGTTATGCTCTGTTCGGTTCTGTTCTGTTCTATTATGTTATGTTATGTTATGGTATGTATATATATATGTATACACATGCAGTATGCATTCCTAGTATATTCTACATCAATACCCATGCATATGACGTCTGAACCAGTTTTTGTGGTGAATTTTCGCCATAAACACCCATATATTTCTACATATTTCTACACTCGTTCATATTTCGAACTATCCTACGCCCTTTATTCACCATAATGCCATAGAGTCACCCAGGTTTGGTCTCCATCTTTTATCTCTCTCTCTCTCTCTCTCCCTCCCCCTGAAGGTTTATACATTGACAGTGGTTTGAAGTACCGTTCTTTTTTCGGAAAATCTTCTCCACATTGGACACCCGAATATCCCAGAACTCAGCTTTAATCCCCATACATTTTCTATGTACATCAATATTTTAAACTATGAGTAGTTTTTTTCCCCCTCGAAAAATACTCACCATCGGAACTCAGGCATGGTCTCTATTTTCATGGGCACCTTGTACTGGTTCTTCTATGGTACCGCCTTCGTGGTGGGTTTGGTCGAGATCTTGGCTGGGGAGTTGGAAACGGGCGTCACCCGCTTCATGGCCGTCAGCATCAAGACCTTCGTGCTGTGCGTGATGTGCTGTTCCTCTGGCTGGGTTTATATCTGGATTTTTCTGTGGATTGTGGTTTGCTTAATTTTCAAAGCGCCTTGATTTGATATATATATATATATATTTAAGCGCTTACGCGCGACAGCCGGCCAGGGGCCCAACTATGTTGGCCCATCTTGTGGCTATTGGACCTCTCTCCAGCCCCCAAAAACATTGGACTCGCCACACTGAAAGAGCATGGCAGTGAAGGACGGATCGTGTCCCGAACCTGTGGCCAGTAGTGCCTAACGTCGCTTTCTAGTCCTACAAGAAATTAGCTCCAAATTGGACCTCTCCAGCCCCCAAAAACATTGGACTCGCCACATTGAAACAGCATGGCAGTGAAGGACGGATCGTGTCCCGAACCTGCGGCCAGTAGTGCCTAACGTCGCTTTCTAGTCCTACAAGAAATTAGCTCCAAATTGGACCTCTCCAGCGCCTAAAAACGCTGGACTCGCCACACTGAAACAGCATGGCAGTGAAGGACGGATCGTGTCGCGAACCTGCGGGCAGTAGTGCCTACCCTCGCTTTCTAGTCCTACAAGAAACTAGCTCCAAATTGGACCTCTCCAGCGCCTAAAAACGCTGGACTCGCCACATTGAAACAGCATGGCAGTGAAGGACAGATGGTGCACCGAACCTGCGGGCAGTAGTGCCTACCGTCGCCTTCTAGTCCTACAAGAAACTAGCTCCAAATTGGAGCCCTCCAGCGCCTAAAAACGCTTGACTCGCCACACTGAAACAGCATGGCAGTGAAGGACGGATCGTGTCCCGAACCTGCGGCCAGTAGTGCCTAACGTCGCTTTCTAGTCCTACAAGAAACTAGCTGCAAATTGGACCTCTCCAGCGCCTAAAAACGCTGGACTCGCCACACTGAAACAGCATGGCAGTGAAGGACGGATGGTGTCCCGAACCTGCGGCCAGTAGTGCCTACTGTCGCTTTCTAATCCTACAAGAAACTAGCTCCAAATTGGACCTCTCCAGCGCCCAAAAGCACTGGACTGACTCGCCACACTGAAACAGCATGGCAGTGAAGGACGGATGGTGTCCCGAACCTGCGGCCAGTAGTGCCTAACGTCGCTTTCTAGTCCTACAAGAAACTAGCTGCAAATTGGACCTCTGAAGCAGCATGGCAGTGAAGGACGGATCGTGTCCCGAACCTGCTACCGTCGCTTTCTAATCCTACAAGAAACTAGCTCCAAATTGGACCTCTCCAGCGACTGAAACAGCATGGCAGTGAAGGACGGATGGTGTCCCGAACCTGCGGCCAGTAGTGCCTAACGTCGCTTTCTAGTCCTACAAGAAACTAGCTGCAAATTGGACCTCTCCAGCGCCTAAAAACGCTGGACTCGCCACACTGAAACAGCATGGCAGTGAAGGACGGATCATGTCCCGAACCTGCGGCCACTAGTGCCTAACGTCGCTTTCTAGTCTTACAAGAAACTAGCTCCAAATTGGAGCCCTCCAGCGCCTAAAAACGCTGGACTTGCCACACTGAAACAGCATGGCAGTGAAGGACGGATGGTGTCCCGAACCTGCGGCCAGTAGCGCCTACCGTCGCCTTCTAGTCCTACAAGAAACTAGCTCCAAATTGGACCTCTCCAGCGCCTAAAAACGCTGGACTCGCCACACTGAAACAGCATGGCAGTGAAGGACGGATGATGGTGTCCCGAACCTGCGGCCAGTAGTGCCTAACGTTGCTTTCTAGTCCTACAAGAAACTAGTTGCAAATTGGACCTCTCCAGCGCCCAAAAACACTGAACTCGCCACACTGAAACAGCATGGCAGTGAAGGACGGATCGTGTTGCGAACCTGCGGCCAGTAGTGCCTATCGTCGCTTTCTAGTCCTACAAGAAACTAGCTGTCGCTTTTTAGTCCTACAAGAAACTAGCTGCAAATTGGACCTCTCCAGCCCCCAAAAACATTGGACTCGCCACAGCACCCAAACAGCATGGCAGTGAAGGACGGATCGTGTCGCGAACCTGCGGGCAGTAGTGCCTACCGTCGCTTTCTAGTCCTACAAGAAACTAGCTCCAAATTGGACCTCTCCAGCGCCTAAAAACGCTGGACTCGCCACATTGAAACAGCATGGCAGTGAAGGACGGATGGTGTCCCGAACCTGCGGCCAGTAGCGCCTACCGTCGCTTTCTAGTCCTACAAGAAACTATAGCTCCAAATTGGACCTCTACAGCGCCTAAAAACGCTGGACTCGCCACACTGAAACAGCATGGCAGTGAAGGACGGATCGTGTCCCGAACCTGCGGCCAGTAGTGCCTAACGTCGTTTTCTAGTCCTACAAGAAACTAGCTGCAAATTGGACCTCTCCAGCGCCTAAAAACGCTGGACTCGCCACACTGAAACAGCATGGCAGTGAAGGACGGATGGTGTCCCGAACCTGCGGCCAGTAGTGCCTAACGTCGCTTTCTAATCCTACAAGAAACTAGCTGCAAATTGGACCTCTCCAGCGCCTAAAAACGCTGGACTCGCCATACTGAAACAGCATGGCAGTGAAGGACGGATGGTGTCCCGAACCTGCGGCCAGTAGTGCCTACCGTCGCTTTCTAGTCCTACAAGAAACTAGCTCCAAATTGGACCCCTACAGGGAATTTTCTTCTTATAGAAAGGAGATTTGGGGGTATGGTACGGTGGGTACGGTGGGTACGGTACGGTGGGTACGCTGGGTACGGTACGGTGGGTACGGTGGGTACGGTACGATGGTGCGGTGGGTACGGTACGATGGTACGGTGTGTACGGTACGGTGGGTACGGTACGGTGGGTACGGTGGGTGCGTACCTGCACCCACCGTAGTACACATCGTACCCCCATGTGCCGTACCCACCGTACCCACCGTACCGTACCCACCGTACCCACCGTACCCACCGTACCCACCGTACCGTACCCACCGTACCCACCGTACCCACCATACCGTACCCACTGTACCCACCGTACCGTACCACCGTACCCAACGTACCGCACCCTCCACCGTATACCATCATTTTTGAGGACCGTACCCCCCCACAAGCATTACTCTTGAAATTAGGTAAGTTATAGCCTGATTTGTTTTGGGTAAACTCAAGTTTGAGGTTCCAGTGGAACCTATCATGACTGTGCCCAAAACTGAGGGTAAATCTTCCACTTTCCTTGGTCTCTGGAGCGTGTGGGCCCCCGGGGTGGCCCCGGGGTGGCCCTTAGGGACTTCTACCCCGGACGAGCACCCAACTTTGACCTCAGGGTGCAGTGGTTGTTTTTGGCCACTGTGCGTGGTTTTCTGCCCCTATATCTTCCTTTTTGCTGCTTGCCTTTACGCAGGCTCGTTTCTCCTTTGCTTCTCTCGGGTCTGCGTGTCATATGGCATTGGCTGGATCTTCTTCATCCTGTCCCACCACCATGCTTTCTGTCGGAAACCACGTACCGAATTGCTTACAGGCTTACACCTCAACACATCACTCTTGTTCTGTGATGTGCCTTCTCCTCTTCATGTCGGTTTGGCTGGACCATTCCCACTGCCCTTGTCTTTTCGCTTTCAGAAGCCACATGATAGGCGGTAGTATTGAATTTGGGGTAGAAGCAGGGAGGTGCCCACACCCAGACTGTCCCTGACTTTCTAAGCTGCACAACTTGCGGCAGGATGGGCTTGATATTTTCCGGATCGGTTCCTTCATTCTGCTTTGTCAGCGCGCGCGCGTGACCAGCTTCTTTTCGCATGTATTTCATCTTTGACTTTGTTGTCAACATTTGCACCAATGACAGCTCCAGGCTCCATGGATAGATATGAGTCACAGGCCCTGACCGAGTACGCAATCCCATTATGTCCCGTTTCAGACAAGTTCAGTAACCTCCAGCGCTTGAGCTCCAGAAAAAACAGGCAGGAAAAGTAAATTGTTAGGAGGGAAAGTTGGCCCCCCATCACTGCCTTGCCGCCAGGCCTAGTCCAAGGCATTACCGATCTGCCTGTAGTACTGCGCCAACCACCCCAACCAACCAAGGCGTCTTTCCAACAACCATTTCTTCCACCCAGACTTGTGACATCGGGTCATTCGCAGCAGTCTGGCAGGTGTACTTTGTCAACCTTTCGGTTTCTTGATTTGGGCGATTTTTCTTCAAACAGAAGAGGAGCCCGCCAGTGCGACGTGAACATGGGACCGGGGGTAGTGGGCACTGAGGAAGTCCGTTGGCAAGCAAAACCAGGTGCTGCTTGGAAGACCAATGGATTGGCCGAGTGCAAAGTTATGTTGTTGCAGCCCGTGCACTTGGTCGCTTACTGCCATTGATCTGCAGACCCGGTGCCTTGCGTGTGTTGGCAGCCTGGAGCACGAATCTGCCTGGGTGGGCTGCAACCACTGCCCCCTTCCGCCCCGATAGCAGTAAATCAAATTGCGGGCGTACATTGGCCTACTTGCGGGCGTACATGGCGTAGTGGCATCATCCCCAACTTCGCAGCCTGTGGCCTAGCTTGAGCGTCATGTAAGAACTCTTAAAGCAGCAAAGCATGTCCGCGTGTCCGATCTGAGCTGCCGCCGTGCCAGCCACTGGCTTCGCATACACAGTACTACCAGTCCGGTTCGCACACATCACCCCCCTCTTGCGGCGGAGTCTTCGAGAAGATGCGCTCGCAATCGTGGACTCCTGTACGGAATATTCTTGGATTCAACGTAGGTATATAGAGTAATCCAGTCCTCAACACCAGCATTTAGGTTCTAGTTGGCCGGCTGGGCCACCAAGTTTTGCCGGCGGGTATCTGGGAACTTTCACTCAACCCAACCTCAGAGCAAGTGGACAAACACAGGAAGAAACTGAGAGGCTCAGCAAAGCAACCCAAGTCATTCGGTGGGCACTTTCGAAAAAGCAGCATGCGCCAACGCTACTGGCATTGCACTTGCAGCCACCCCCAGCTACAGCAGAGATGGCAGACATTCATGGAGGAAATTAGTCAACAGGGGAGCACTTTTTCCACATGCTGCTGACTGGCCACACAGTGACGCCAGATTATATATCTTGGCTGTGGTACGCAAACGCAGGGGGCTTCTCAGACAGGTCTGGACCAACGTTGGCCGTTGGAAATGATGACGCGACCATGAATACGTAACTATCAACTTGACTGCTGCTGAACCACCAAATTCAAGTCATATGACCATTGGTATCAACAATTTCAACGTCGAATTGCTCGACCACCACCTACGAGATCCTTGGCGAGCCAAGCAATGGCATTGTTTCTTCACAGCCGACCTAAATAAGAACGCTTTACCCTTGTGTCTCGAGCTTGGTGTACGGCGCCGGTACACCTCCGCGCGCACATCAAAGCCGTTGCCATTGGCCATTTTGTGTCGCAGGCACGACTCAAAGTGACAGCGCAAGCGCTGGAAGCACTTGTCAATGGTGCTGACATCCATCACCAGACCGCCACCATAAATTTTGGGAATGTCCGGAGCTTAGCCAAAGATGTGGTCCACCTGTGGATCTGCTGGAAGGCTGGCTATAGTGTAGCCTCGCTCGGCCAACTTCGATACCAGCAACAGCATTGCCCTCGCTGGGGCTCGGGTCTTGGAGGCCCGCCACTCTTCGAGCGCGTGATGCGCTTGGATTTCTGCAGCGACTCCAAGCTTGGGTGCTGCGCGCCAAACCAGATGATGATGGCGATGACGGTGACGATCATGATGGCGATGAAGATGACGATGATGATGATGATGATGGTGATGATGATGATGATGATGGGGGATTTGGCCGGAGGAGACATGGGGACGGCGTCTCATCTACCTGTGCTGGTGGCACAGGAAACGCAACCAAAACATTTGCAAGCAAAACCGTTTGGAGCTTCTTCGCGATAACTGTAGTTGGTCAGGACAATATATCAACTTCCCATGATAACACCACTAAATCCCCAATTTATTACTATCACAGTAAAGATGGCTGAGTAAAAATGGCTGATTGGACCCTACCCAAATGGGATGAGTCTTCTCACGTTCCCAAGGCTGTGGCATCCTGGTGACGCTGGACAACCCGGCTCAAGTCTGGGCGGCCCAATCAACCTACTGCAACACCCTTGACCTAGGCTGGGGCGGGAAATCATGGGGCAGCCAGGCCATTGACGGGTCTGAAATGGTTGGTATACCTCCCGTTTATTTAAGGGGTGAAAAGTTTCCAGGATTGTGATAAATCCATTTTTTGGATATATATATATAATATATATGATATGATATTTAAATAACATGAATTTTCTATTATATTATAATATGTTAAATGATATATTATTATTATTTTTATTATTATTAAATAAATAATGTAAATTAAATTATGTTTTATTACATTAAATTATAATGTATCTATTTTATATTGATATATATATATGTATATATATATATATATATCATACTATTTTTTGATTATATATTTTATGATGTTTTATTTCAATATTTTAATGATATGACGTTATATTATATTTTATCATACCATATTATATTTTAACATACTATATTGTATTGTAGTGTATTATATTATATTATATTATATCTTATATTTTTAAATTATATACGGCGATATATTATATTATATTTTTTAATTATAATATATATATATATGTATATATATATGTATATATATATATATGTATATATATATTGTTTTTATTTTATTATATGATATGATATTACATTATGTTTTATCATTATTATGTTATCTTATATTATACTATATATTGTGATATTTTATACTGTATATTTTTGACTATAATATATTGCATTTTATTTTTTATTTTATTATATGATATTATATTACATTATGTTTTATCATTTTAATTTGTATGATTTTGTATTGTAGTGTAATGTATGAATTTATATTGTAGCATGTTATATTATATTATATAGCCAGCAATAATACCTATATCATAATGAATGGTATTATATTTCGGGTCCCTCATGTATGTCTATCGTGAATTTTCACGGCAATGATCCGATTTTTCCTATGGTGAATTTCCCAGAATTTTGGGTGAATTTATTGCCATCATCCACAAAAAATGAGTGCACTTGTTGGTAGATGATCTGGTTCACTCGAATTCAGTCCGGTTTCATCACATGTTTGATTTAGGAGATGGCAAAAAACATGTGGTTTTCAGTTAAATGAATCCCCTTTTTTTCCAGAGTGCCGGATGAAACTTTCTGAAAAGTCCCCCGCGAGGCGAGTATTGGTGGCGCATCCCCCTGTATCTAGCGTGCTCAGTAGCTGTGCTGGGGCAGTATCGTTTCCGCTTGGAGCAAATGTGGCGGGGTTTGTTGGTGCAGCTTGCTGGCTACGAAGCCCAGTTTCAGGCGGGGCATCTTGGGATGGGTTTGTCCCAAAATGATATTTGAAAACTTGGAAAACTGACCAAATGTTTCAGACTGGATGGCTAAAATGATGAGTTTCCCCTATTCGAATTGCAATTTCTTTGTGATATACCCATTTTAGACAACCCCAAATGGGTCAAATACCCACAAACCTGTGCTTTACTTCATCAATTTCATGACGGTCCCAAAAACAGGGCCGGCCGGATCGTAGTCAACCTAGTGAACTAAACTAAACCTTCTTTACCCTTGTTTTTGCTGTTTTTACATCCCACAAAATTTCCCCATAATGTCCTATGTTTCATAGTCATGTCAGACAAACCCCAACATCACATTGTTGGTTATAGTTCTATATCTATATATTTCTATAATTTTTCTATATATATATATATGGAGGGCCATTTATTTAGTTTTTTTTTTTTTAGTTTAGGGATTTTTTTTTGGATTTCTTCCTGCTTACTCTATTGCCTCCTGCAGTGCTTCTCTGCTTCTTTGCTTCTATTCCTTTTTTTGCTTTTCTTGCTTTTCTTTGCTTTTTTGCTTTTTTGCTTTTTTGCTTCCCTTTGCTTTTTTGCTTTTTGCTTTTCTGCTTTTGCTTTGCTTTTTTGCTTTTCTTGCTTTTCTTTGCTTTTTTGCTTTTTTGCTTTCCTTGCTTTTCTTTGCTTTTTTGCTTTTCTCGCTTTTCTGCTTTTCTTTGCTTTTTTGCTTTTCTTGCTTTTCTTTGCTTTTTTGCTTTTTTGCTTTTCTTTGCTTTTTTGCTTTTCCTTTTTTGGAGCTTTTCCATGACTACAACTACAACAACACAACAACAACACCAACACTACAACTACAACAACAACACCAACACCAACAACACCACCACCACCAACCACAACAACAACAACAACACCAACACAACAACAACAGCAACAACAACAACACCACCACCACCACCAACAACAACAACACACAACACACCACCAACACACACACAACACTACACACAACACTAACACAACACTAACACAACACTAACACAACACTAACACAACACTAACACAACACTAACACAACACTAACAACACTAACAACAGCAACAACAACAGCAACAACAGCAACAACACGACCACCACCACCACCACCAACAACAACAACAACACCACCAACAACAACAACACCAACACCAACACCAACAAAAGTAACAGTAACAACAAACAACTGTTGGAATGTCAGCCTTCAGCTCCAAAATCCTGCAAGTACTGTGAGGAATGTAGCTGTAAAATGTTGCACATACGGTGGAAATGCAGATTCCAGCTCAAAAATGCTGCAAAGAGCATGGAAAATGGACAGAACATGCTGCAAACTGTTGCAAATACCGTGGAAAATACAATGGAAAATGAGAGGTTCGAACTCAAAACCGTTGCACATACCGTGGAAATGGCAGTTTCCAGCTCCAAAATGCTGCAAATAGCATGGAAAATGGTGAGAACCGGAAATCCAAAAAAAATTCCCCAAACTCAAAAAAAAAAATCCCCAAACAATTTCCTACCCATCAATATATACACATATTCATTCCCATTATATGTCCACTTTGCTTGGATAAAACAGTTTTTCTTTCTTGCAGCGGTGTTTCCAGGTGTCGCGGTATTTCCTGAACAAAGCCGACCACGCGGCGAAAGACAACCTGGACGTCATGGCATCCAATATATGTGGAGCCGCTGCCAGCGTCCTCACTGCCAGCTGGCCTACTCGGTGTCAGACAATGGCGGTTTTACTGGGAAAACCCAAATTTTTCATTGAACATGTGAAAATTCGAGATGGGGGAAAGATATGGGAAAAAAACCGCACGAAATGAAGGTTTACAGCTGGAAAAGTCATTGAACTACATAGTTGAGTTTCGATCAAACTACGTTTGAGTACGGAAGGGTACATGTTTGGATGGGATTCAATCAGATATACTTGTCAACCCCGGACCAATGAACCCTCGTTGACTAAAGTTTGGGGGATTGCCACCCCAAAGTGATAATCTGCTACTAACCACAATTCAACAGCCAGGCTTATGAATCCCAGGTTGCCATTAGACGGCAACATAGCCAAAAAGAACTGCAGATATACATAGATACACCATGATACACCAATATTAGCTGGCTGTTTCATTCACAGCAATATATTCAACTGCTTGGTAATTCATATTTTCACCTCCCAAAAAACGGGCTGTTGATCCCGACCGAACGAAAGGCCTGCTTCCTCTCGGCCATGATGGATAAAATCAACTCCATCTACTACGCCCAGCTCCTTCAACGGGGTGCGCACCGGGACGAGACTGACAGTAGCTGCGGCTAGCAGATTTTGGGGGATCCCCAATCCCTGGTGGAAAAGTTTTACTTTTCTATTTTTTTAAGGACTTTTTGGGGACTAGTTTTCTATACTACTCAGATGGGCAACCAGGTAAGCTGGATGACGTCTTATACGGCTGCATCTCCGGAGTCGTCAAGTGCTTCAACTGCATCGGGATCGGCAGGAAGCACGACAAACATATGGTGGAGTTGGAGAAGAAGATCTACCAGCATCCTGGAGTAAAATAGTGGCTTTTCTTTTGCTTTTGCCAGGAAATCCACCAGACATTTGGGAAATGTGTCTGGAAATCCCAATCATATATGTCATAACAAACCATCCTTTAGTACCGAACGGGTATGATTGGGTGTATATCTATACTATATCATATCATTTGTATGTATATATATATGTATACGTATATATATATATATATATGAATATATACACATATTCTTACATGTACACACATATACACACAGATAAAAACACACACATATATATAATTACATATATATATATAATTACATATATATAATTACATATATATAATTACATATATATAATTACATATATATATAATTACATATATATATGCATACATACATACATACATACATACATACATACATACATACATACATACACACACAGACATACATACATACATACATACATACATACATACATATATATATATAGACATATCGAATATGACCATTCGTATTCTTCTTCGGCCTCCGGTCTCTTTGCAACGAGGCATTCCAAGGAGCTCAAGGACCCCACGCATGAACGTACGGAGATTAAATTGGATCCCGAGGAGGAGGATTTGTTGCTGGACACCATCGTCTATGCGGAGTCCATGAACATTTGGGCCGCTGAGTTGGGATGGTCCGGATGGTATGGAAAAATATGATGGAATATCATTGAAATCCAATATAGAATGGGTTTTTGTGGTGGAATATTCATAAATATTGGGTAAGTTTTTTATTGGGAATATCATCAGGGCCACTGTGATTTTGCCTAGTATACCATTCATTTGGGGATAGAATGGTGGAAGAATGTGTTTTTTTTGTGGAAAAATGGATTGACGTATAAAATGGGAGATATTAGCCACGAATATGATATTTGGGCCACTGAGAGGTGCAATGGACCAGAAGTGGCCAGATTAACGGTTGATTTATTTTGGGGTGGACATATCCCAATCGTTGCTGGGGTTTCCTATAAATCAGAAATGGGGAATCTGTATCGATGGTTTCCCCAGGTATAACCTCCATTCAGTGCGTTTTTTCCCCGTATTTTCCAATCACTATTTTCCAATGGAAATCAAAGCTTCCATTTGGTGGTATTCCTCAATTTTCTCCTTATCCTCCCCGTTTTTTCGCAATCTTTATTTGATTTTTGAATGGGATTTCCCATTGAAAGCTGCCATTTGTGACCCCGTCGCATCTAACTTTCTAAGGCCATGCTGATGCCGGCGGTGTACCAGTTGGTGCCTGGCTCCATGATTGCCAGGATGTGGTTCGAAACCATCATTCCGCCAGCAGATTCATCACAACAGGACCGTGTGGGGAGACTGTAGGGAATATCTGAGAAACTCATGACCTGCAAACTCATAAAAACTCAACAAACCTACAAAAAATGAGATCCCATTTTTTGGCTGGTGAAAGATCCAATGTGATTTTGGGGACGGTTTACTATTGCATTTACCAAAGTATCTGTGACATCTGATTGGGGAATACTCACAGTACCCTACAGTACATATATACGTATATATATATATATATGTATACAATCAAACCTGCCTTGCTGGAACATGGCCGATTTAGTTCGATGATTTTCCCAGCGAACTGAACCTACATTTCTGGGGGATTCTCCAGCCAGCCACATTTGATTACTATCTTGAAAGGAATATAGTTTTTATAGTTGGTCAACTAATCTATGAAGTTTAAAAACCATTAGTGTACTATCTAGTCAGCCAACTAAAGATCCAAATCTGTTCGGTTTACTTCTTGATTATTGTTGGTTCATGATATTGGGGGATCACTAGACACTGTTGATCATCTATATATATATATATTTATTATCATTATATACATAGACATCTCCTTAAAATACATTGCATAGATATCTCCAATATTTTCTAACCCCATCCCGAGGACAACACCTTCGCCGGGCTGATGGTGACCTCGATCTCCTTGGCCTTGGGATTGATCCTCGGCGAGGCCATCGTGGAAATCATCTCCGGCATTTTCCAGGCGGCTGTGGTGGTAAAAAAGACCCGATTTTATAGGGAAAAAACAGAGAAGATATGGCGAAGCTCCTGTAGGATGAACTTCGAGAGTCTATTTTCTGGGATATTGGAACATGAAGGTACAAAACCATGACATTTTTTGGGATTTTCCGATCATTTTCAGATTGAGGCGATCTTCGGGTCCCGTTCCAAGAAGGACGACCCTCCGGAGGAGGACTAGCCGGTGGGCCGAAAAACAGGGGCCAAAGAGTCACAAGAAGGGGATTTAACAACACATTTTTGAGATGTTTTTTTCGAATTTCCACATATTTTAGGGGATTTAACTGATTTGACCATGTTTTTATTGGGAACTTGAACATTTTGATGGGGATTTTTTTGGATACACAACCAAACATTTGATACATGGTTGTGTCCAAATTTACACTGAGGGATACCTAAATTTGTGGCCATTCAACGCATGATGGACCGTGGCGGGTCGATCATTGATTTTATGGTTGGCGGTAACATTATATTTGAAGAATGGGTTAGTATAAAGGGAACCGTGACCAAAATATGATGCCTGGTGCTAGTTGATGTGGTTTATTAAACCTCTACAAATTTGCGGATTTGCGTCATCATACATAACCGTTATCAAACACGGCAATTGAACATCCTATGTAAATATGGGTTTACTCGGAAAATCATTTGTACATAGAGGATTTTCCATTGGCATGTTTGATTACACCAGAGAGTGTATATGAATACATATATATATAATACACAATATAAAATAAAATATGTATATATATATGTATGATACACAATATAATATGTATATATATATATGATATACATGTATATGTATGAATAGGGACATGGGTTTACTGAGATGCCCCTAAGTGGTGAATGGAATGTGATCCTCACTGGCTGGTTTCTCGGAGATTTTCCATTGCTGAGCTGGGCTTACTATTACTACTGTGGATGGAAGAAATCCTGCACCAGTTGATAGATGGTAAACATCCCATTATTTGTAGGGTTTCAACCATCCAAGGTGGTGCAGGATTTCGCAACCATCCACAGTATTAAGATTGGTACCCTGCCAGTAATCTAAGGGCTTCTTAATCCTGGATTAAGATTTTAAGTATGGTCAGACCATGATTAGATGATCCTACCATCAGGTTCTGTCAGTTTGAGCTTGGTGCTCAACACAACACCGCTTCCCAATCATATGAGGAACAACTCGCTCATTCAGAAATAGAAAACGCTGCGCATCGGGATGAGGATGCCATAGAAATTGCGCAATCCATCAGCAGTGGATGGCTTCAAACATCACCTTTTAGTGTTTTCCTATGTGAACTCTTGACCTCTTGACCCAAAAAGTAATGTTTATGGTGGAAATATGAAAACAGGGTATCCTCCTCCAATGCGTCATTGTTTTCCCCTGCAGATGGCCCTGGGGGTATATCCCTCATGAAACACACCTTTGCGACACATTCGAAGCAGACAGGAGACAAAAGTCAAGGTAAGCGAACCCAACGATGGTGCTGTCGCTATTGCTGTGGATGAGAAGATGTCTGAGGACAGTACATGGCCACTTTAATCTGTACCCGGCTGGCGCACGAATAAGAGCCAGACTGCGCAGGAACCAAGTGAGCTGATTAAATCAGCACACTTAGAGCTTTTTCAAACGTAGAATTCAGTACCTTGAAACTGAGAAACTGCTGAATGCTTGTAGTGGACTGGCTTCGGTCAGCGAAATTGTACTGATTCCAAGCGGTTGCAATGACACCAGAGGAAAAGTCCCGTAGCAGCTGACGCGCAGCTTTCATTCCATCCTCAATGACACCCCAACAAATTCACCAATTCCATTATTTCTATATACACATCTAGATGCATTTATACATGTGTGTGCCTGCAGCTCTTACACGATGGAACATCCCATTTTAAGGCTTGTTGAGGCCATTCCATTTGACATCCAAATCTCAACTTGAAGCACTTCTGAGATCGCCTGAAATTCTCATTTCTGTACCCGGACAACGGAAAAATCACTGGTCCCATCACTGCCATCACATGATGGCCCCCATCGCTATCCGCAGGTGCTGGCTTTCCACAGATCTCACCACCCTGACAGGGTCCATTTGCCGTGGCGTCCTTTTCGATTCTTCCCTTTGTCTCCGAGCAATTCGACGGAACGGTCTCATTCTTGGAGCGCTGTGCTTCCAGTCAGAGCACTGGATGATGAACCTTCATCGCTCAGTGTTCAGACTAGAAGCACAGCGGCGATCAAGATCTGAATTGAGCTCGGGCGCCTGGTCCTGTGGCGCAATTGGCTGGTTTCTCTTGTTTTTCTTTCATCTTGGGTAGTGGGCTACATCAACAACAATAATGGACAACAACAAGGTGTACCAAACAAGATGGATCCAGATGGTCAGCTTATTTTGGTTTGCTCTTGTAAGCTGGTGCACTTAATTTGTGTTGTGAGAGCAGCTTGGGATCATTTTGTCAACGTTGGTGGCACTTCGCCACGTCCTCCAATTTCTGGGATTTCACGATTAGCTTCCTGGGGATAGGCCCGTAGGCCCATGTATAAGCTGTATATGGGACCGGATGCAGCTCAAAGACCAGCTGTTTCGATGGCAGGTCCACAGGTTTTAACGCATTTCAAAATTTCAAGAAGAACCGTTTGATGAAGACATCCAGGAAGTCCAATGTGATCTGAGAGTACTTTGTAGTTCGATACTGCACCTAGACATCTTCACTTCGTTTGAACATGCACTGAAAGGTCAACGAGTCAACAACTCTTGGCTTTCTTTATAAAGCCGCCCTGTGCATAGGACAGTTGGGCTCAGATGGGTCGGTCTTCATGACTATGGATGCGATACAGCCTGAACGGCTTGTACAGTAGTTGATATCTCTTGACAGATGGCTTCTTCCCCTTGGTGGCTCATTTTCTTCCGACATGTGAGGTAGCCATGTAGGATAGGCTTGCAAGGGAACAGATTGTCAAACCAGATGGAAGATAGTTGGAGCCCCAAAATGTTTCATGGAAAACGGTCCATAAATAGACAATTTCCCAACTTTCCTCTTAGAATACTCGCTTTTCCATAGCTATGTTAACTTACCTGAGTGTATATGGTACTTAGAGCTGGAGGTCCAGCCTGGACACCGCTGCAATGGAAGTGTGCTTTCTGGCTTCGGGTGAGCAGCTGGCAGTGCTTGATGCGGATAAGGTCCAAGGACAGTCCGCGAAGACTGTGAAGCAATCCTTGGCAGCACAGATTGGTGTCACCAGATTTAGGCAGAAACTCTTCTGGGAAGATGGCTCTGAGATTCAGGATGACGAAGTTTTTACATCGTTTCCACTGAAGATCCAGCTGCTGGTCTTGGAGTTCTTGCCACCTGATGCTGAGCAAGGTAGGAAGATGATGCTTGCAGCGGAGGAGGATGACTCAGTTGCACTTGAGAAGTTACTGAAGTCCCCACGCAGTCCCGATGTCAGAGATGAAAGAGGTTGCACACCATTGCTCCTTGCTGTCATGAGAGGCCGACTTGGACCTACGAGGCTATTGCTTGAGGCAGGTGCAGAGCTAGAGGCACAAACTTATGTTATGGTTCCCTTGCACGCTGCAGCTTCGCGCGGCCATCTTGATGTGGCCAGAGCGCTCGTTGAGGCTGGAGCCGAAAAGGATCCCACTACGCAAAATGGGTTGACACCAATACATTTTGCAGCTACACACGGCCACCTCAACATTGTCCGATTTCTGGTTGAGTCTGGCGCAGATTATCATTTGACTGCCCGTAATGGAAGCACTGCTTTGGATGCGGCGATTGCGCAGGAACATGATGAAATTGCTCGATACCTTTCGGAGCTGAAGTGATGGCGAAAAATCTCTGCAGGCTTAAGGCAGTGTGGTAAAAGAAGTTCCGAGCACCGGATGGGAATTCGGAATGGCTGTAGAACCCGTCACCCGAAGATAGTGTGACCCCGAAGAAAGCGTAGGGTGCAGACATGGAGTAGGCAACCCACACTCACACACTACAAAAAATCTGAAACTGCGACTTTCTTCAGAAGATTCACACCAAATACCTCCAACTCCCCACCCGTTCTTCCATGGAGTCTGAATTAGGTCTGACTTTCGGCCTCTGTGTCCCATTTTTCTGGGGAAACACATGCAAACTTCATAGCCCGTTCCCAGGTCTTATGGTCGGCTGCGGACCTGGGCAGAAGGCGCCTGGTGCTGCGAAAAGTGAGTGATTTTGTCACTTTTGCTCTGGAATCGAACTAGGCGAATGGGCATTGCGACATTCATTGGGCCAACTCCATCATTCTACTTTTGCTTGTCGCTCATTGGGGCCTGGGATCAATGAGTTGAGCTCGCAAACAAAATGACAATTTTGCAGGTTGCAAAAATTGTTTTTTCCTCGAAGCATTGTCATTTTTTGCAAAATGACAACAAATGACAAAATTTTCCACCAAATGACAAAAACATGGCAAACAAAATGACAATTTTGCAGGTTGCAAAAATTGCATTTTTCTCGGAGCATTGTCATTTTTTTGTCATTGTTTTGGCACTTTTCAAACAATTTTCGATGGGTTTCCATATTGTTGAGAAAATGGCGCCAAAATGACAACAATGACAAAATTTTCCACCAAATGACAAAAACATGGCAAACAAAATGACAATTTTGCAGGTTGCAAAAATTGCATTTTTCTAGGAGCATTGTCATTTTTTGTCATTGTTTTGGCACTTTTCGAACAATTTTTGATATTTTTCCATGTTGTTGAGAAAATGGCACCAAAATGACAAAACAAAGACAAAATTTCCACCAAATGACACAAAATGACAGACCAAAACTGAAATGACAAAAAAAACAACAAAAAACGACAAAAAAATGACAGACAAAACTGAAATGACAAAAAATGAAAAAAACAAACGACAAAAAAATGACAAAATAAATATTTGAACCATCTCCAGGGTATGGCTGCGAGTTTCTTCTAAAGCTGCAACTTTGGAATGAAACACTGAAAAACCAACAAACATCTAGAAAACATCCAGAATCATGGCAACCAAAACGTAGAACTGACCGGCTTACACACACACAGAAAGCGGCCCCTCCCCACTACCTTGCACAACAGCTGCTGGCGATGACCCAACGTGCAGGGTGAAGGTTGGTACCACAACATATTGGTTTGTCTGAGAAAAAAAGGCTATCCTGAAATTTGAAGGTTTATCGTAATTTTCACCATTCAAATGGTCGTTTCGGGAGGCCTTTTCAAATTCCCTATACCCCGTGTTCAAATAAAATGTATATAAAACCACACCTAGGTGGTTGACCCCCAATATGTGGATCATGTGATGGTCGGTTGCTCAGTTTGATGCGGATCTCAAGCGGATGGCGTGGCCTCAGCAAGCCTTGAAAATGGAGCGTTCCTCCTGTGCATATACGACGTATACGTGCCTGGACATGCACAAATGTCTACCCCAGTTCCCTTCTGATCGACCCCTTTCGCAATTTATCTGAGAACAACAAACCCAACTCCAACAAAGGGAAACAAGAAGGGAGACAAGGGAAGACAAGACACTCGCCAAGGCGGACACACCATCCAACAAAGGCAAACAAGAAGGAGTACAATGGGAGACAAAGGGAGACAAGACCCTCGGGAAGGCGGACACACCATCCAACACCAAGGCAGACACCTTAAGAAAGCATTAAGAGCAATACAGCCTTTCTATCCACCCCTAGGGAAAGTGTTAGATTGACTCGCAATTTCTGAAATGAGCATGCCGAAATGAAAGTGTAGATGCCAGTCATACCACACAGCGCTCTTGGAATTGCAAAAAAACTCAGACCTTTATTCTCTGTCGGGAGCTTCCACTCTGTGGTTCTTGCTACGTCAAGCTAGCACTGAAGACGAAGCAAATAAATCGAAGATTTTCGAAGGCCTGCACATTGATCTTTTGGTTTGTCGTAACGTTGGCCCGGCTAAGCTCATGTGGGGTCCTGTCAGCTTTGGACGAACTCCACATTATCCTCACTGGCATTGCTCCCGCCTCACGCTGGGCATGGAGGAAAACAACCTGAGAAATGAACCACCTGCCACAGCAACCGATTGCCGCAAGGAAGGCCTTGGATCAGACTGTCACAAGGCAACCGCCCCCCGGCCCAATCTCAACCCATGCCAAACATGATGGCGAAGTCCAGTAAGCCACAATCCCTAAGGCATGGCCTTGCACCATGAGACAACCGTTGTGACGGAACTAAATCAACCCAAGTGCATCACGCAAGCAGTCCCAACTGGCAAATACTGAGAATGTGACATTGGGACCAGCAAACCATTCCTGCCAATCATGCGCAATTTTCAACCGGCACCTTCTGCATCTTTTTGCAATGTCAAGCCAAACTATATACAGTAATTATCGTCTGCAAATCTGCAGTTCAAGGACTAGCCCGCAACCAGCTGACCTGGCCCATCCTGACCCTTCCCCTGTCCTGAAGGAGCGTGGAGAAACCGTCCTGAAAGTTCACGGAGATGTTTGCGAAATGTGCGATTCTCGCACATGTGTGAAAACTAGTTTAGTAGGTGCCTGACAACGATGTAACGTCCAAGAGTTTTCGCGAGGATGAGAAGTCACTGTATCTTTGTGACGATCCGCCATGACTCAAAGTTGTAATACCAATTATGATTTGATTTGCAAAACACACGGTGGAAAGGCTGTCTTGTGTCGTTGTTTTATACGAGGCATGTCCCTGGTCCAAGGTGGTGGTCCCTCTGGTCGACGCAAAAACACCATGCAAA